TTTTAACACGAATATTATTAAAGAGTAGTAGTATCATTTATTGCCATTTCATTTTTTATTAATTTAAAACTAATTTCAATGGAGAAGATATACTCCAATTAACAAAGCGCCTTTTGGCACTACTCACTGCTCCTCGTTTGGGGGTTACTTCCCCTTTTTTAATTACGCGGTATGAATTTAATATTTTTTGTTTTTGTTTTTACACACGTATTATATTAATTGCCGCTAAACTAATTAAAATACGTTACTACTATTTTATTTCTATTTACTCATTTTCATTTTTTTGCAACTTGAAAAACGAAAATAAGTTTATTTACTTTATTATAGTATTATTATTACAAGAACAAACTTACGTCATGGACAGCTACAATTATCGATTACGACAATATTTAATCCGAAGAGGTAAGAAAACAATTTTCGAGCTCTTTGATTTTTTAACTAGTTTAATGTCACACTCTCCAACACATTTGTTGAAAACGAACCAAACATAGTGTTAAATTTTTATGCTTTCCTTGTGCACTTGTCGAGTGTCTAAAATCCCAAAAATTATGCTACTAAAAAAAAAAACAGAAGAAATTGTGAATGAAACTCGTTCAAGTGTAATAATAAATGAGTCAATGAAAAATATATTTACAAGATGAGCCTGAAGACAAAAGTTGGACTGTGAAGATCAATGAAATTGGAGATGTTGGGATTCAAGTGTTGGAGATAAATGTTTTCTCTTGGTTCTTCACTAACTCCACTCTGTGTTGCATACTCTAATGCCATTTCATAGTCCACCTGAAACAATCAATCACAGGAAGAAACTCAGCAAACAAAAACTGATGAGTGATGATGATGCAGAAAAAAAGAGAGTGAGTGATTGATGTTAAAAACCTGTTCCACATGTTGAGCAAGCTTTTCTTTCAATGTTTCTTTTGTGATTATTTGTTCAGACACTTTATCAAGCATAACTGTGTCTTCCTCTTTGTAACGTTTTCTCTTTGTTGTATGTTCTTCCGTCATTTGTTTTAGAACCTCGTACACTGCTCCCGTTGCATCCGGGATGTATCTGCAACATTCGATTATTCAGGGTTGGAACAAAGAACGCGGGCTACTATGGGAGGAAACAGATTTTCTTCTTTTTATTTACCTGCTCAAACTACGTTTACGCTCCTGCTGTTCACGGGCTTGCATTCTCTTTACTATTTTGGCTTTCAGTTGGATGCAGCATTGTTGAATTGCAGACTTGATGAAAGAAAAGTGTCAAAAGTTAGCTTTAACAAGTTACTNATAAGGTCGAAAAGTCTAGCCTTGTTTTACCTTGACTGCAGTAGCTATCTCACTGATGTCATCTCCTATGTACTCTTTCCCTGTCCCTTTGAAAGGAATTTTTGTACTCACTATGCTCACAAATACTCCTATTTTATCTTGCGCCTGGTTGATCTTATAGCTACTCCAACTGCAAAGTTTTTCAACACCCATTAATTAAAAAAGTTGGAGAAAGATACCAACTTAAATGATATACAGGGGGATGATAAAGCAAGTTAAGAAGAAGTCTCACTTGATTCTCTTTAAGGCTGTCCTGGTGACAACATCAGCTCCTTGTTCAAAAAGGAGAGGAATACGGTTTGCAAAACGGAATATGTTGATCCCCTGTCATTTTAGTTCCCACAAGAGAATTCATAAGAAAGTAGAAGATAAGTATCATGGGATCAAGATAAATAAATAAAGGAATCATGTCAATAAGCTCAGTTCCATTTTTGATCGTTTTCAATAAAGAGCAGACAAATCTAATTCATGCTCAAAATTTAGCTGACAAATGTGGCAACACGTAAAGACAAACATAAATCTCCGGGAACGCTCTTTTGCGTTGGGTGAATACACAAGAATAGACAAAAGGATGATATGACTTGCCTGTTTCACATCTCTTCCCCCCACACTAACACCAGCTTCAACAATGAAAGGATGACCTTCAAAGACCTGAGCACTGAACAAAGAAGGTAAAGATTACTACAAGAAAACTATTATATGACTCCATATCTAAATCAGATGCATTTTCAAAAGATTGAGGGTTGCAGTGACAACCTGCCTGAGTATGTTGCCACCATATCTGGATGCAGCTCCTTGATAATCCCTAGACGAAGATTGTATTCTCCTGCCGGACTAAGACACTACAGCAGAAAACCGCAGTATGATTAGAGCTAATTTTTGCAATAATCCAGATGCTTTAACAAGTTAAACTTTTATAAGAGCCTCGAGAGAGAGAGAGATAGGGCTGATAAAGCAGTTCGCAATGAACTGTTAAGAGAAAGCAGCTGCTTACATCACCACTAGGGTCGTCGAATTTAGCTTGGCGGAATAGCTGATGTATGCGTACCATTTGCTGAGATGTCACAGATTTGACAGCCATACTAGGGCTGAAATCAGGTCCCATTTCCCCTGAAAGAAAGAAAACAAGCATAATCGTGACTGAATCTGACTCAAGGGATAGCACAGGCTTAGTAATAATATAAAGGGACAACTTCAAACTGATATAACAAATAAGATCGATGTCATACTTACCAATTAATCGCGTTGCAAGGGTTTTGTTAATATTCACAAATTCGTTCTGAAGAAACTGCAGAATGGTCTTTTTGGAAGTGTCTGTAATAAGGCGCTTGATAAGCAACAAGTCAACTGACGAAGGATGGTGCTTTGTCTCAAGAGGAATTGGGGGCATCACATCAGTTCTTCGAGTAAATTTTATAGTGACATTTTTCCTACACGAAATTTTTTTGGAAAACTCAATAATGCTGCACATAAACAGAAATAGCACTAAGATGACAGAGAGACAGAGATCATACTCGGGTGTTTCTGATATAAATCTAAACAGAAACTGCGCATAAGGAGTGATAACAGCCATTTGACGCATATAGTGCAAGATCTTAGACTAGAAAAGAAAGATAAAATGTGTAAGACAACTGTGCACGCACATATATCTAAAGAATGATTAAGAAATAAAATACAGCAAAATGACTGATCTAAACCACGTACTCTGTATGTTGTCCAGTTTCCCTCGATTACTACCTGTATTTCTGCTCCATGCCATCGATCATTGCTGACCTTCTTTTCATGTAGATGAATATGGGGAATGTTCCTGAAAAATTTAATCATTTGAGACGTTGAGTTAAATGAGAAGTTTCGCAAAAGATTTGAACCAAGTATCCACGGCTATTATCATAAGAAGATTCACAAAAGACGTGGAGTATTCAAAGGATTCACGGCTATTATCGTCAAATGCACAAACACAAAAAGTTAGATTGATATACGCTTTCGAGAAGCAGTTCATGTATTCAAGGGATACCTGTGAATATCAATATCCAGTCTGCAGAAAGTAACATAGTTTTGATTCTTCATAGATGAAGAGATCTCTATGGGAAGGCCTGTACTCATTTTGGACCAAATTAAAGCCTGCACGCCAGGAAAATTTAGAGAAACTAGAAGAGTTAAACGGGTTCTTTGGAAAAAATGTAGGTATGTAGCCACATCCAGCCGTCATGATTACGGGGGAAAAACAAAGACCAGCCCCAAATCAAAGCTAAAAAGTTCAAATCCTCCTAAAGAGTCAATTGCATAAAATTTATATAACCATATATATTCCTTTTGTAAGCTACGGAGCCCACCATCTTCCTATTTTGGCCATAAACTGCTGAAGGTTACAAATTTGTATCGATAAACCAAATCAGCATTTTACATGCCAAACTCAGATATCCAACATGCTATATAAAACTCAAAAGTAAGAAGAAAAGAATGAAAGCCAGAGATTTAAACTTGCTAAGAAAAGAGTACCATCTTTGCGCCCAAACCAAACTTTCCACGTGTTTGCTTCAGTCCATACTTCGTCCCAGACAAAACTGTAAGAAGAACAATATGTAGATCTAGCCTCAAGATAAAAGCTTATTATAAGGTTGATGTGCCAGGCTAAATAAACAGAGGAAGTCAGGGTGACCATTAGCTATTTACCTCTCCCAAACATATTTGGGATGTCATCATGTGGCATCCCCTTACCATTATCCTACATTATGAACCAACTCAAGTCGTGACTCAAAAATGTCATAAGAATATAATTAAGAATTTGCAGGTATTTATACTTAAACTTATATACCCTATTAGACCATCGGATATCTAATATATATACATATGGCTGTCACTAACCCTCAGAATTGAAATTGCACATTATGTTTAATCAAACAAATATTATTCAAGCGCTCACCTTACACGTCACCTTGTAATATGATGCTTCCCCACGGGCCTTTAAAACCTTTGAGACTCCAGGCTCTTTGTATTTCTTTCCCGATGCCAAATTTTTCGCTTGTATCTCACTGGCACGAGCTTCCTTTGCTAACCTTTTCTACATAGGAGGAAACAACTAGAAAAATTAGAATTGTTAATGAAAATATCGGTACTAACAGTGACAACCCAGAAGATTGCAGAACAGTGAAACTTCTTGAACATAAAACAGAAGCTGCTTAAAAGCACAAGAATTTAACCAGGCAGACTGAAATAATGAAAAGATGAGAGAAATAAACACAGAATTCACGTACCCCACGGGCCTTCTCTGTCTCATAGTCATCATACAGCTTTGTGTCAACACGTTCCCGATCGATAAGACCAATCATGGAATTAAACTTGGATTTTACAATCTCTTCACTTCAAAACAAAAACAACACAGTCAATCTACCAGATGGGAAGAAAGCTAGTTAAGATGAAACAACAAACTTTAAATTCACGAACACCTACACTTTCTCCTACCAGAACTAACTATAATTTGCTTTCATCTCAAAGTATTCGTCTTTAAACCAAACAAAGAAACATACATTGTTACTTCAACCTCAGGGAGCTCTGAAATCGACTCTGCGGAATCAAGAGCATTTTCAACAAGCTCTCTAACTGTAGTATAAAGCGACTTCCCTGGCTGAAAATCCACAATTCAAGACCCAATTATCAAACAATCCAAACTTTGCAAGAAAGGTGTTACTTACCAAACTGAAACTACAGATATGAACAAATATATTCAATTCCCTGAAATGAAAGCTTCATCGCGATAGTTGAAAACAAACAAATCCAGGACTCACATTATCAAATCCAGCAATGTTCTTGTTCTCCGCGAAAAATTCAGCTGGGGATTCTGCAAATTCACAAAAGAAATTCAGATCATTTTCACCACGAAGAAACGCAATTACACAACTCGAAATGTGCAGATACGTAGTAATTACTTTGCTTGAGAGTGCTCTCTTTACTGTTCTTAGGGTTCTTCGACTTCCCTTTCTTCGTTTCAGCATCGCCCGCCATGAGAAAAAGTTGAATCAACAATAGGAAAATCGAGGAAGATAACAAAAATCTAATCAACCAAATCTCTCAGTACAACGTTGGATTAAACAAAAATTCAAAGCAGGATCTAGGGTTTTTATGAAAGGAGGGAAGTTACAGAGAGAACTCGATAAGAGAGACGAGTAGCTGTGAGTAGGGGTATAACAGTCATTTCAAGCATTAGCGTTTGCGATTGGACAAGACTGGCGGTTACGATGAATTGACGTTTGCACTGCAACTGCAAGGAAGAGAGAAAAAATGGCGAATCATTCTCCTCCTGGAATCGCCATACTCGGAGCTGGGATCTTCGTGAAAACGCAATACATTCCACGTTTAGCTGAGATCTCCGATCTCGTCGTCCTTAAAGCGATTTGGAGCCGTACTGAGGTAACATTCTCCTTTTCGCTATATTGAAAGAGTGATCAATCGTGTAGGTTCATGGGATTGTCGAGGTGATTAACGAGAAATCTGTAGCTTGTTTCAAAAATGGAGCTCGAATGTTAACAGTAATTTCGAAATCGTCAGGATATATGTATGGTCGATTGTGATTTTTGTTATGGTTTGAAGGAATCTGCAAAAGGAGCAGTGGAGATAGCGAGAAAGCATTTTCCTCAAGTGAAATGCAAATGGGGAGATGAAGGTCTGCATGAGATCATTCAAGATAGTTCAATAGTCGGTGTTGCTGTAGTTGTAGCTGGGCAAACTCAGGTGTCTTCACAGATACATACAAATCTAGTTGGAATAATAGCGATGAATGCATCGGATTTTTCTATTACTAACACAAGCTGAGTGAGTTCAACATCTTATGCTGCAGGTTGAAATGTCACTGAAGATGCTCAAAGCAGGGAAACACGTCCTTCAAGGTGAATTGTCCACTACATCAATCCTAAAAGACTGCACTTTTAGTCGCCTTTGATCGCTCAAACATTGATAATCGGCCTTCTGCTACTATTGTTATTGGAAGATTTTTGCTAATATGGCTGTCTTGATTTGGCTTCCGCCTTAGCCTTACCATTTGCTAAACAAGGGCATGCTTTGCTTTTGTGACCGTCTTCTTTCGTCACTAACCATGTTATTGCTACTTGGAAATGTGTCCAATTTAAAACACTAGCGATTTTCTTTTTTCTTGACATGTATATTTGCTGCTATCCTGGGATCGGTTTGCAGAGAAGCCAGCTGCTGCTTGTAAGTTGATCACTACTCTTATTTTAAACCAGCTTGGCATGTAGGATTACCTCGGCCCAGAGTCATTTTCTCTTGTTGCATGACCCCATTTAATGTATAAATTAAAGTCTTCCTGGTTATTCCACTCTTAAAACTTTTTTGTTGCAGCAATCAGTGAGATAGAAACTGCACTGTCAAGCTACAGAAATATTTCTGCTGATTCTCCACGCTGCCCAATCTGGGCTGTGGCTGAAAATTATCGTTTCGAGCCAGCATTTGTCGAGGTAACTGTTACTTTGGGTTTATTCACTTAAGGTTGAGCAAGTAACATTATGCTTGAAAGATCACATGGTTGCTTTCTGCAGTTAAAGAAACTGATAGCAGAAATTGGGGATATGATGAACGTCCAACTTATTATTGAAGGATCAATGAACAGTTCAAATCCTTATTTTTCAAGCTCCTGGAGGCGAAATTTGAGTGTACGTTATGCATTGTTTCCTCACATTCTTATTTTGTCAGACTGTTTTATCTTCCTAACGCGCTGCTTGTTTAGACTGTAACTTAAGAATCATATGGCTCCAAATGCTACCATCCCACTACTATCATTTTGCTCTATACTGCAGATATATCAATATACATCTGTTAATATTTACCGTAAGCTCTTCATCTACAGGGTGGTTTTATCTTGGATATGGGTGTGCATTACATTGCAGGGTTAAGAATGGTACCATATAACTTCATTAATTAATAAGCTTCTTCGATATCCTGCTGTTGGATCTTAGATATGATGTATTGGTTTGTCATGAACAGCTTGTTGGATGTGAGGTAACATCAGTCTCAGCCACCACTTCCCACGTGGATAAGACTTTACCTGCACCAGACAATATAACATCAAACTTGTAAGTGTATACTCCTCAACCTCTGTTTCTTAGCACACTAATTTCACTTGAATACTCTAATCCAGGACGTTTCTTTGCTCTATAGTCAGCTCGAGAACGGATGCTCTGGGGTTTTTGTTATGGTTGTGTCTTCAAGGTCTCCAAAGGCATGTAGTAAGACTTAGATACTCTACTTTCGACAGAATTTAGCCTCCATAGTTTTTCTCACAGAAATTCTTTGTTTTAGATATTATGGAGAGTCGTAGGACTAAAGGGCACTGTTCAGCTCGAGCGTGGAGTCCAAGATGGCCGACATGGTTACATGGTTTGTATACTCTAAACATGTGACCAACTGAAATATCCATATTTTGCTTGAAATAACTCAACTCAAGTGGCTCTGATCTTCTGAGCTTTTCAGGCCACAGTTTACGGGGGAGGGACATCGAGGACCATCTTTTACCCGTTTAGCGGAGTGACTGAAGAGCTAAAAGCGTTCTTCAATGACATTTCAGAGACTTCAAAGGTAATCCTAGAGAATCTTATCCTTGAAATGCTGGAACTCAAAATATAGTTATATTAACTAAACTCTCCTCATCTATCTTGTTGGACCTGATGCAGAAGGAGCAAGAGCCTCGTCTCTCATATGTGGAAGGTGCTCGAGACGTTGCTGTTCTGGAGGCAATGCTTGAATCTGGTGCAAGAAACGGAGCTGTAGTCCCTGTGGCCAAATTCTAGCTTTGAAGCTTTCATAGAGACAAGACAACCGAAGCTTTGTTGAAATAAAAGTTGTTACCTTTCATTCTTTCAACACGGAAATATAGACTCCATAATTATCGTTTTGAAACCAACTCTTTATTATCCGGGGAATTATGCATTCTAGGTTTTTTTGTCCTAAACCTTATAATAATTACAATAAGAATTTCAAACAGATTAAAAGCCTATAACCCAGCATCTAAGTCAAGTCATCAAAAGCACATATGAATAAATTAGAAACAAACAGAAACACTCCATGGATGGTCTGAGATGGATTCAGCTCAAAGCATGTGCTCAAATCCTCCACCTTGATGTGCTGGGACTCGACCAACTCCAACATTGTGAACCAACTGTTGCAGCCACCTCCTTGCGATTTGATCTTCCTGAAAAGACATATACCCAAGTTCAGCTAAACCATCTCTTACACAAACAAGTTCAAAACCCAATTCGAAATATGACAATGACTTACACGAAGACAATTGCTAAAGGTTCCATCTCGTAGCGAGTCAGGGAGACAGCTTCCGAGTGCAGCACATGCCCTACACACAAGTGACAAAGCTCAAGCATAAAAAAGCCAAGCACACGAGAATAATAAGAATCATCTCTGAGGAAGTTTGTTTTATGCTAGCCCAACCTTGGGTTGTCTGATAAACGGAGATAACAACGAATGATATGCTTCAAAAGGCGAGGAGAAGGCTGCTCCACAAGTGACTGAACCATATTGCCCAACACTCGACCAACTGCAAAAAACCGCTCTGCTGTTGTGCAGATGTAATCCATTCCCACATCATCCAACAATATCTTTTGGACTATAAATGTCGCAACCTGTCATTAACACAGCATGTTAATTCATAAACAAGGTGTTGCACATTTTCCACTATAGACACCATTTACTAGTGCGGAACTGGTTCTATGAAACTTTGAGCCCAGCCTAGGAACTATAGATAACAGACGATGACAGATTCATTGTTAAAATTTTTGGCTAAAGCATTCATTTAGTAAAGAAACAGTAACAAGAAAAATCGAGACTCATTTTTATAGGACTGAATGTTAGGATTCGGAATATCATTTTAGCTAAAGCAATCACTTAGTTAAGAAAAACAGTAGCACGACGAACTGAGACGCCTTTCGTTCATCATTAACAACAATTTGAAATGCCAGAAGGCCGAGCAATGAAACCAAAGACAAATAAGTACATCTAGAATGAGTTTTAAGATTGTCAAGGTGAATACCATACGAATATGAAAATGTTATTACAAGTTGAAAGGCTTACTGTTTTTGACAGCTCACTCCCCATCTCCATGGTACGGAGGCACAGAGGAATGATTTCAGTTGAAAGAAGGAAGCTAATGACCTCTGTATCATCAACCTGGTTAACAGAGTCAAATAAAGAATATAAATTCTCCGCCGTATCATTTATTCAGAAACCAAGACTATTTACACAACTTTTCGTACTTTGCTTTCAGCCAAAATTTGGTGGAAACCTCAAAACAGAAAGGAAACAAGCTACATCAAAAAGACAGGATGGTTTACCTTCACAAGTGCACCAATGACACCTAAGCTAGTAAGCCGCAAGTATTCAAAGGGTCTTGACTTACTCGTTGTATTAAGGAAGGGGTAAAGGTATAAAGGGATGTGAGCTGCGCATAAGTATGAGAAAGGCATTACAAAGAATTCATCAGTTTTTCTACTTTATAATTAAATCGAAACCATAATATACAAGAAACAGATGACCACCCACCCACTAGCATCAAACAGACAAGATGATATAATAGACATCCCCAATGGTTACATAACATTATATGTATAGCCAAATGAAGCTAGCTTGATGAAAAAGAACAAGAACATTACCCTTGAGAAATAACATTCTCGTATCGGAGTGAGATGCTACGCACTGCAGAGCAAGTCAGGAAGACAGAAGAGCATCAGGAAATTTGATAAACGAAGATGAAATCATTCATCCTATAAAAGAAGTGGAAATCCCCATGTGAACGGGATCGTCTACCTGAAGAAGGGCGAGTGAGTTACAAACACGGTTCGACTGAGCAGGAGTCAGATTTGGAGGTGCAAGAACAGAGTAGATTGATACTATCTCCTGCAAGCAAATAAACCAAAACAAGTCAAATCGTGCCACACTAAAAAAACCAAATAAATAGCATTTGCTTAATAATTATTACTTGGATATTAAAGAATCTTTAACAACCGGAAGACTCATCAATTTTGAAGAAAGAAATAGCATTAAAACATTGAAAAGAACCAAACAAATACACATTTAAGTCATACCTGCAACAATGCAGCAATGGTACCAAAAGAGTTCCACAAGAGAGGCGCCAGATCCTGAAACAGTTCTCTTTTCTACAAGAACAACCACTAATTCAGATACTGGGAACAATCGAAATCACTCGATTTCACACCTATCAGTTTTTCAATTCGTAAGAAAAGTCCCCAAATTCAAGTACTGAGATAGTCTAAAGCATG